TCGACGAGGCGTATCAAAACATAGAATAGGGGTGGGGTGGGTTGCATTGAACCGCGGCTTTCAGCCTCACTTGTAATCATAGCTGGCCCCATACATACTGAAAACATAGGTTGGGGGTGTTATGCCTGGAACCGCGGCTCTCAGCCTCCCAGTAGGTGTATTATGTATGTATGTATGGGGTCCCCTGAGGCTGGGAGTGTTATGCATGGAACCGCAGCTCCCAACGTCAGGTGACCCATACTTAGCTCGACGGACGTATGAAAACATAGGCTGGGGACGCGGTTCCAGGCATAACACCCCAAAGCCTCAGGTGACACCATACATACTGAATACACCTACTACATCACCAATGATCAACGAATCTAAGTAAGCACTGAACTAAGACATTAGAGCAGAATCAACTATTTTTATTAATCAAACACTCCAGATGCGTAATCAGACTACACTGGTAGAGCATGCACAAGAAGGAAACTATACAATACAGATTAATACTATTTAACTATGGGGTTCGATTAAACCAAAACAACCCTGACACAAATAATAAAATGGTCAACATTAAATTGAACACTAGTAATAATACAGGAAACAAACAGCAAAGGGCCAACCACAAGACTAAAATATTATGTTTCTTCTTCTACATGTGATCGCTATGTGATTTACACGAAATTATAACAATTGTTTTTTAGGGCTCCCCTTTAGTTTCATACAACTTTGAGTATAGTATCGACTAGTTGGGCCAGTGTTCCCTTCTTAATAGGCGGCACAAGGGATATTTTTGCACAACATGTTCTGCAGTTTGCACTCACAACCCACAGGGGCGCAGTGGTGAACTATTTAGACGACGCCTCTGCACATGTTTGTCAATTTTATTATACTCTGCACTGGTGGGTTGAATGTTGCCGTGTCCATGCTGGTCAAGTAAACTGCTGGCCAGATTATGTTCACGTCTGTTCATTTAAAGATTATCTTCATCGCACATCAGACATGACCATAAGTGCTCCGATCTCCTCCTGAGTTTGTCTGCAAATATTTTTAGACTATCAACTCCCATTCAATTCTGGCTGATGAAACGACGGTGGCTCTCGCATGGTTTTCCTGTCTCGCTGCACCAGTTATTACACCCAGGGTGTGTAGTCTATTGAGTGAAAAGTAATTTTCCACAAAATTGAAAGCCGCACAGCGTTTAATCTCTTATTGTCATTGAGGATGTCTCTCCTATTTATAGATGGCCCATTCCTGATCGCCGCACTGCCAGCAGGGTGTCTGCTCTCTCATTTCCTTTCATACCAGCATATACTGGGACAAAAATGAAGGTGATTCTGCGAAACGTTTCGTGCTGCATCAGACGGCGCCACTGTTGCCATATGTGCCCTGTCTTGATCTTCTGTTCCATGCTCATTGAGTCACCGAGAAAGCATGCATTGGTGAATTCTTGAGTTCTCAGCCATTCTAAGGCCTTTGTCACAGCCATGACCTCCATTGTTATACTTTTCCTTTACCTCTTGCTGTGAAAGCCCGTGCACTTCGCTTCTGACCAATCACAGAACCCTCTGTATACATAAAAGCATCTTCCGGTGATGTGTGTTCCGGTCAGAGATATACAGAGACCAGCAGCCTGGGACGCTGCACTAGAAATTAACGATGATGAGGACTTAGCTAGGACTCTAGAGGCAAGCGTTAGGTTTGTCCCTCAAATCCCTCCACGGAGACTAGAGCTGCCCAGGACAGACATGAGTCTGATGAAAATTATTAATAAGAATACTGAAACATTTGAAGCCAAAACAATAACAGAAGAATACATAGACCAGATCCGATCAGACAATCTGATTGCATACACTGACGGATCTAAGAATGAAGCAGGAGAAGTAGGAGCAGGAGTAATAATCCCACAGTGGAATATGCAAAGAGAATATAAAATAACAGATCATGTGGCAGTATGCACAGCAGAACTAGTCGGCATAATGAAGGCACTAGAAATGGTAATTAATAAACCTCCAACTAAATTCACCATACTGACAGATTCATTGTCCTCGGTGCAAACGTTAAAAACACACAAAACTAGCAGTAGACCAGATATTAAAGAGACAATCCTAAATCTAACAACTCAGCTCAAGAATAACGGATGCCAAGTCACCATTGCATGGGTACCAGCACACAGAGGTGTAATAGGCAATGAAAAAGCTGACATAGCAGCCAAAAAGGGAGCAAAATGTGATGTTTTAGTAGATGTAGGACTCGGAAAAACTGAAAGGGCCAGCATAATCAAACGACATATAATTAAAATGTGGCAAGGGAGCAATAATGGCAGAGATGCCTACAACAACCTTAAAGAGCCCAGCCTTAACACACAGGTACGGGACAAACTGAAAATTCCAGCTAACAAACTACTATGGAGAGCTAGGTTAGGGTGGCATCCAGAGAAATTTACATCTCCACTATGTCTGGACTGCTTTCAAGATAATACAATAGAGCATTATATAATAAACTGCACTAAATATAAATTGGAGAGGAAACCCATTGAGGAGTATTTTCTAAAACGCAAACAACAGATTACTGCAAACAAATGTTTAAAGGTAGATAGCAATAAAGACACCCAGAAACTGGTTAAACAATACCTTATTAAAACAAATCAAAACTAAAAAGGCCAGATTAAGGATTTACTCAGTACAACAGAAGGAACTGATCAGATGGTAACTCTGGACACCCTAGCGTAAGGGAGGTAGTGTAAGTATGATGAAAGCATAGATGTGAACATGGATACATACACAAGGATGAGTGCGTGTAGTATGAGTGCAATTGTGTATAGGATGGATACATAAGTCACATTGTATGTAAGCGAATGGTAAGGAAGCACGTATGGACAGGACAGTTGGAATATAGATGTGTGAAAGGTACAGATGAATGAGTACATGGATATAAAAATGTATTACTGTATACATGGTCCTGGCAAAAGGCCACGCTAGAATCCAGCAAGACGGCAACGACGAGAAATGACTGAATGGCCTCCCGCCCCCTTTCCCCTCACCTTTCCCTAACTCTTTCGAATGCACTATGAGTTTAACCCCCCAACCCATTCCCACAGAGAGTGCTTGAGTTCGTTACCCAACATGCCACAGCAATTCTCATCGCCGAACATTTGGATCTCAAAGCGTGAGCTGGATGGTCCGGTTATATGGTATTTACGTACACCGGAGCTTAGCTATCAACACAACCCGATCACATAATAACAAATGACGACTGGACCCGCTTAAGACTCCACATAAACTCTCACACACATATCCATTACATGACTAACCCGTTCATATTACAGGAAGACAACTATAAGACCACTATGGTCACACGCGGAACATTTTCACATTTCGGAACTATTCAAATTCAAAAACTGTTTTCAGTACTTTTGGCAAAATTAAATTACTCAAAATTTTAAAACAATAAATGGTGGCCGAAAGGACGTTGTGTATGGAAGCTCGCTCTCCTTCGAGATACGCCTAGCCAGATCAAAGGGAGACAGAACAAACAGGAAACACCAAGAAAGAACAAGGAAGACATACACCAGTGACAACAGGACGAGCGGTTTGATTCGGATGGAAGCATCAAGCCCAGAAGTGGCACAAACACTGAAATTCAGTCACGAAAGTGACGCAAATAACCCAGACCACAAATACAGGCGGAGACTGCTAATAGCCTAGGCTAGCTAGCAGCAGTCGGAACGTGGTCGAGCTTTTCTTTTTTTTTTTTTTCTCAAAAGGACTTGGACAAAAGGACATGTGTGTTCCTTATGCTTCCCGTCCCTTTTAGGATACATTTTTTTTCGTTATTTGAAGCCCTACTCTGGCTCTTGCCAAGGACCGCAATATAACCTGGCCATAAATATGGCCTGAAGGCTGAACGCGGTTTCTGGGACCTCTCCACGGTGATCCTCACCCACATGGTGGCACATTGTGTCATCGGGTGTTTATCGCATGTGTGACGTGCTAGTGGGGTAAAAAGTCAGTCAGTCAGTCAGTCAGTCATGTGTGTTCCTCTACCAGTGCTTTCACTTCTGCATCAATTAGTTAGTTAGTTGGTTAGTTAGTTAGTTAGTTAGTTAGTTAGTTAGTTAGTTAGTTAGTTAGTTAGTTAGTTAGTTAGTTAGTTAGTTAGTTAGTTAGTTAGTTAGTTAGTTAGTTAAGTCAAGAATTGACATCACAGCACTCGGGGCATACCCAAGCGTGTGGCGTCCTCATCTCCAGCAACAAGCGCAGAGTTCCAATACTGATGGTAAATTATTATTATAAGTGGTGCCACACCAGGGCGTTGTCTAATAACCACACCAACTTACTGCTTGTATTTGTTTGGTATGGGTATTCATTCATCTCCACGGTTTATATACACTTCTGATGACTGATTTACCCTTCTCCTTCAAAATAGAGTATGTAAAACACCTACTACTGAAAATATAATACACCGAAGAAGCATAATAAATAAATGCCTATAATTTCGGGCTATAAGATAAGCAAGGCCAATTAGACCACTACTTTAATCAATACTGGCTCATATTTAGAGTTCACATTTGACTAGTTTTCTTAACCACATTTAGATATAGTAAACACGAGGAATCATTGCTTTTATAAATATGAACTAGAGGTTTGCCCAGCAAACTCAGTAACATAATTTCTTTGTCAACAAAATTGTGTATGCTGTAGTAAACAATACAGTTAAAAGTGCTTGTATATATAATTTGATTTAAAAAAAAAAAACAACAACAACACTTCATATTTCCCGTCAGACATGAGGAGAAAAGTCTTATAAAATATGTGCGTCCAATATAAACTGGAATTTCCCCTTGTCGATTCTGTACTCTCATTTTGGACTGAGCCCCTCACTTCCCTTTTCCCCTCAAATCTGCAAGATATCTAAGTGCTGCCCCCGCCAAGATTATGGGTATACGTTTCTGTTTAAATATTTGTTTTTATATTTCATATTATTTATTTGCAATACATAATAGACCAGCATTTTTATTATTGCGCACTTAAATATGGCTCAGGTCTCGAGCTCCTTTTTTCCTCTTCTTCTTCTCTAGTCCTGTTCTGCCTTTCAGTGTCAGGTGCAAGTGCTGGTATGTGTTTTTCCAAAGTAAATAAATCTGGATACCACTGTTTAATCGCATGGAACTGAATTTTTGCTTGCTGCACAAATTCGTTTTTATCTCTTGGATACGTGGGATGATCGCCAACAAATACGACAACGGGAGCCGAATTTTCTACCCAAGTGTTATGCTGGTCGTGTTTTATTGCCTGTGTCCCTATTCCGATTTCCCACAGCTTAGCAAGCAGCCACTCGCTAATTTCTTTAGCATTAGTTCCCCAGCACAGGAAAAATAAACGCTGCGACCTATTTAACTGGACCAAAAGGCAGAGCAGACGAGATACAAATTTCTTCCAAAGAGAAAAATGTCCCATACTGTACGTCAGAGATGCATTCAGCAATAACACGCCTCTGTCTGCCCAGACTTCATGACAGCAATCGTAGGTAGCTCCGCGCTCCAAATATCCAGCATCTGCTAGAACGTCATGTAGCATTTTAACACTGAATCCCTCTTCAGGCTTGAGTTCACGCTGTCCAACATTTTCGTCAATGATTTCTCCCTCTGGAAATGAAAATGCGAACCCCGTTGCTAGGTTTTTATTAGAAATGGGTTCGTGGCCTAGGATGACAACTTTGATATCTTCTGGGGCACATCGAGACAGTGCTAGCAAGATTTTGCTTTTCTCTGGTACCATCCCTTCGCGGTTCAGAAGATTGCCTTCCACGTTTGCAATGCTGCGATTAAAATAGTACAGCAAGTCATCTTGGAATATAGAGACCCAGCCTTCATGTACTCCAGTTTCCTGCACAGACTTTCTCAGATACTCGTCAGACTGTGGACTGGACATCTCCGGCAGGTCTGTGGGAGATAGGTAAATTTTGAGCTACGTAAGGTTCCAATGAAACATTAAGAAGAACATTATTACAATAGGGTAAAAGTGCTAGGCTGAACTTTGTGTCATAAATCGAGAGAGCTGCATGCAATAGAGCGAGTGGAGGATTCGAATTTGAACCCTATGTAGTCTAACGGCACACAAGAATGATAATGGTGATGAAGGTACCATGTGTAAGTAGCCTATCCACCTAATCGTGTGTGCGTGTGCGTGCGCGCGCGAGTGTGTGTGCGTGTGTGTGTGCGTGAAATAGGCACTGGAAACTCATGCCTATTAAGCTCTCACCCCCACCCATATCAAAATAGTTGTATTAACTATTCAACCTATGATGTGCTTAATGGCAATTACAAATATTAAATGTATAAAGAAATACTTTAGAAGATAATTTATATACTTTGTTAAATTGGGCATCTTAGACGCTTGACAAAATTATTGTTTAGGGAACGGTAGTTCAGCAGCCACCCACTTTCTTGATAACCTTAGTTTAGCAGCCACCCACTTTCTTGATAACCTTAGTTCAGCAGCCACCCACTTTCTTGATAACGTTAGTTCAGTAGCCACCCACTTTCTTGATAACCTTAGTTCAGTAGCCACCCACTTTCTTGATAACCTTAGTTCAGCAGCCACCCACTTTCTTGATAACCTTAGTTCAGCAGCCACCCACTTTCTTGATAACCTTAGTTCAGCAGCCGCCCACTTTCTTGATAACCTTAGTTCAGCAGCCGCCCACTTTCTTGATAATCTTAGTTCAGCAGCCACCCACTTTTTTGATAACGTTAGTTCAGTAGCCACCCACTTTCTTGATAACCTCAGTTCAGCAGCCGCCCACTTTCTTGATAACGTTAGTTCAGTAGCCACCCACTTTCTTGATAACGTTAGTTCAGTAGCCACCCACTTTCTTGATAACCTTAGTTCAGTAGCCACCCACTTTCTTGATAACCTTAGTTCAGTAGCCACCCACTTTTTTGATAACCTTAGTTCAGTAGCCACCCACTTTCTTGATGACCTTAGTTCAGTAGCCACCCACTTTTTTGATAACCTTAGTTCAGCAGCCGTCCACTTTTTTGATAACCTTAGTTCAGTAGCCACCCACTTTCTTGATAACCTTAGTTCAGCAGCCACCCACTTTCTTGATAACCTTAGTTCAGTAGCCACCCACTTTCTTGATAACCTTAGTTCAGCAGCCACCCACTTTCTTGATAACCTTAGTTCAACAGCCACCCACTTTCTTGATAACCTTAGTTCAGCAGCCGCCCACTTTCTTGATAACCTTAGTTCAGCAGCCACCCACTTTTTTGATAACCTTAGTTCAGTAGCCACCCACTTTCGTGGTAACCTTAGTTCAGTAGCCACCCACTTTTCGGATAACCTTAGTTCAGCAGCCGCCCACTTTTTTGATAACCTTAGTTCTGTAGCCACCCACTTTTTTGATAACCTTAGTTCAGCAGCCACCCACTTTCTTGATAACCTTAGTTCAGTAGCCACCCACTTTCTTGATAACCTTAGTTCAGCAGCCACCCACTTTCTTGATAACCTTAGTTCAGCAGCCACCCACTTTCTTGATAACCTTAGTTCAGCAGCCGCCCACTTTCTTGATAACCTTAGTTCAGCAGCCGCCCACTTTCTTGATAATCTTAGTTCAGCAGCCACCCACTTTTTTGATAACGTTAGTTCAGTAGCCACCCACTTTCTTGATAACCTCAGTTCAGCAGCCGCCCACTTTCTTGATAACGTTAGTTCAGTAGCCACCCACTTTCTTGATAACGTTAGTTCAGTAGCCACCCACTTTCTTGATAACCTTAGTTCAGTAGCCACCCACTTTCTTGATAACCTTAGTTCAGTAGCCACCCACTTTTTTGATAACCTTAGTTCAGTAGCCACCCACTTTCTTGATGACCTTAGTTCAATAGCCACACCCACTTTTTTGATAACCTTAGTTCAGCAGCCGTCCACTTTTTTGATAACCTTAGTTCAGTAGCCACCCACTTTCTTGATAACCTTAGTTCAGCAGCCACCCACTTTCTTGATAACCTTAGTTCAGTAGCCACCCACTTTCTTGATAACCTTAGTTCAGCAGCCACCCACTTTCTTGATAACCTTAGTTCAACAGCCACCCACTTTCTTGATAACCTTAGTTCAGCAGCCGCCCACTTTCTTGATAACCTTAGTTCAGCAGCCACCCACTTTTTTGATAACCTTAGTTCAGTAGCCACCCACTTTCGTGGTAACCTTAGTTCAGTAGCCACCCACTTTTCGGATAACCTTAGTTCAGCAGCCGCCCACTTTTTTGATAACCTTAGTTCTGTAGCCACCCACTTTTTTGATAACCTTAGTTCAGCAGCCACCCACTTTCTTGATAACCTTAGTTCAGTAGCCACCCACTTTTTTGATAACCTTAGTTCAGCAGCCGCCCACTTTTTTGATAACCTTAGTTCAGTAGCCACCCACTTTTTTGATAACCTTAGTTCAGCAGCCACCCACTTTCTTGATAACGTTAGTTCTGTAGCCACCACTTTCATGACTGTTGTTGTTGGTACATACATAGATCCTGTCCAATTTCAACATGCACGTAAATGAGGACGCTGACAAACTGGCAGATGAAGATTAAAGTCTTATGTAGACGTAGCCAGCAATGATTGCAAGTGATTTTTAAGAGACAATTCTAGTACAAAACGGGAATTTGAACACCCAGGCCACTAGGAGAAAACAATGAGTGGACTGAGCCACTGCCTGCTACTTCCTCTATAAAATTTGCAAATCAGTTAAATGACCCCCCCCCCCCCTTCTTTTTCATCGATCTCAGTCAGGCATGGAAGCTCTGCTTTCAATATTTCATAGTATCTTAACAAAATTATTATTATTATTATTATGACTATAAACATTATTATAATTGTGCATGTAAACAAGACGTATGCCCCTTGCGCCTAAGACCATATAAAATGTATAATGTGGCTTATCTCCCCCCCCCCCCTTCTTCCCCTTTCCATGATTTCTTTGTGTCCACGCCATTGTTTGTATTTCTTAATGTGGTGTTTGTGTTTTTATTTGTCTTCTACAGTCCTTTCTCTCATTACTGTTTCCATAATAACTCAATGATCCTTGTTAAACTTTTTCATCGCGTTCACCCTCTGTAAACTCTGGCGGAAAGTTCTAGGTGTTCGTCCTCTCCAGACTTCAGTCTTCCTCCAGAACCTGACTGTTGGGTGCACATCCGTGTCACAGATCTAGCTTTTTTTGTAAGCAGACGCTTGATTCCTTGCCGACTTCGAATGATGCCCCAAATTAGTCGACTCATGCGACATACTTTTTGGCTATACAGTGGGTCTTATCTTGTCCCCCCCCCCCACCCCACCCAACCCCCTTTCCCCCACAATGTGACCCCGGAACCCACACAGGCAGTCTAGCTACTCTGACGGCAGGGAACCCTTTGATCGACATTGCCCCTCTTATTAAATCGTAAGTTTGGTTACGCTTTTGTTACTGGCTGCTTTATTTTTGATTAGTTGTTGTGTAATTAATGATAATTGTTATTTTAATTTATACCTTTTGTCGTATAATCTAGCGTAGTTGGTTAAACCTGACTTTGCGGCGACCGGGTGACGAACTCCTTGTGGTCCGGGTTCACTCCCGGGGGTAGGCAGAAAAGCCACATTTCTCCCAGATTTACAGTATTTATCATGGAATCAAGGCCGAAGGGTTGCAATATCCATAGTACTGAGCCAAAGGGTTAACAACTCATTGTTTCTGGATATTTTTTTTAAAATGTGTTATAGTTACACGAATGAATCGTTTATTACCCATTTAGTACAATCTAAAACTAAGCAATACATATTAACATTAATTCTACACAATATTTAATTACATTTATAAAGAAATGAAGATAATATTTACCACAGAATAAAATGAACTCTTGAGTTCAAATGATGGCGCCAGCTGGCGGTGTAATCTGAAAGCTTATAAGCTCTGCCAACCAGCTCTACTTTATGTATAACCCACGTAATCAGCTCTTATCTACACAAGGTCAGGTGTTCTCAACTAGTTAAACACGTGGACTATTATTTTTGAAGGTCTTCGACGATCCCATACTTTTAAAAAGGACAATGGTGAAAGTCTTATTTATAAATATTAAAATAGCACAAAAAGGATAACATTCCAAAGTTGATTTTTTAAAATGTAAATTAAATCATAGACATTTGCAATTCGGCCCCGGGAGTTCGCGTATCACCAACTGAGATTGACTGATTGATTGGCACCTTTCCGTCTTTTCAGACGAGGGTGTTATGTTGCTCTATGAGAAGGCGTGGGACTCACATTCCATGGCGATGGCGAATGTGACTAGCAAGACCCGCCCGTTTCAAGAAAAGTATTCCACTATGATAGCATGGGATTTCAGGACCATTGTTGTCTACGAAAGCTCAAGTGGCTGGTTCACATCTGGAGAGTGGAGGATGGCAGAGTCTCTAAGGACATCTTTTATGGTGAATTACAGATGGGTAGAAGATGTCAAGGCCGACCTCTACTACGTTTTAAAGATGTGTGCAAGCGGGAAATGAATGATACATGTATTGAGGTGGACTCATGGGAACAAGATGCCATGGACCGTATTGTGTGGAAAGGGCATACCAGGAAGGGAATGAGAGTAAAGGAAGAAAAGATTACAGAAAGGATGAGAACTGAGAGTCTGAAAAGAAACGGATTAAACACAAATTTTGACAATGGTCCTGAAATCCCATGCTATCATTGTGGAAGACTTTTCTTGACACGGGCGGGTCTTGATAGTCACACTCGCCATCGCCGTGGGCTGTGCCCCATGCCTTCTCATAGCGTAATATAACACTATCGTCTGGAAAGACGGAAAGGTGCCAATCGTATGTGTATGTGTGTGTGTGTGTGTGTGTGTGTGTGTGTGTGTGATCGTGCATTTTTTTTTCGTTTTTTTTTAATGGTTAATTTTC